ATACAAAAAGGGGAATTCTCAACAATAGAGGGTTAACGACCGACACTTAACCGGTGGTTACAACATGCAGCTAACAAAGAACTCTCCTGGGCCAGCAATCAGCTCCCAACTCAACTTGTAACTCTGCAACCCTTTTTTTTTTTTTTTTTTTAAATAGTAACTCTTTTTCTACTCATATAGCTTGACTGGCACTTTTAAAATCACACTGGTATTTTTGAATAAATACACTGTCTTTTTCTTTGTTGTGCTTCAGGAATGTTATTCACCAGTTTAGTACTCCTGCTAAAGCCACACTGCTGCTTCTCCCTCACTCCCCTCTAATTGGAGGCACAAAAGGCAAGGCTCACAGGTTGAGATAAGAGCAATTTACTAGAAACAGCAATGAGATAAGAAAGCCAACAGGAACAGCAACAGAGGTATACAAAGGAGGGAGTGATTCACCTGCAGAAATGCTCACCATGTACTCCTTGACAAATGAACAATGTTGGACGGATTCCCCCAGCCATATTTATTCCACTGAAGGAAGGACAGTCCTCACCTCCTGCCCCTGGCAACCACCTGAGCTGGTGTTGAATAGTATCAGGATCCTGGCCATGTCCCCTCCCAGATACTGCAAAAGATTAACCTGTCCTGGCTGAAACCAGCACAGTCTTTAGTGTTGATTACGACTATCAATGCTGTGCCTGCCAGGGAGATAATATTTGAGTTGAAGCTAAGTTTCTTGTTTGTGGTGGAAAAATCAAAGCCTTCTAACTTGCACACTAAAGGTGAAGGGCACTGTGGGGTGCTGTGACTGTAAGAAAAAGAGGAAACTTCTCATAAATTGCAGATAGACTTTACATCCTTTTGAATTGTGAAAAAGCTCTTTAAAAATATTTATTAAATACAAGTTTTAAAGTAGCTGTTTCCTTCAGGGTGCACAATATGGAGGAGCAGTCAGCCAGTGGGATGTGGAGGTGAGGAGGCTGAGGGGTAGGGTAGTCCTTCTCTCCTGTCACATCTGAGTTCTGTTGCCAATCTCCCTGCTGTCCTTAGCTCTCTCCTGATCAGATTTATCAGAAAAAACCCTTATCTTACCTGGTTGTAAACTTACAATTCATTCTGGTTTTATTATGTAGTGCTACATTCTGCCAGTATGCAAACCCACAAAAAGTTCAGTCTTTGCCTTTGAGAAATTCTATTTTAGGCATATGATATAGTCTTGAAGAAATGAGGACAGAAACAAAAGAGGCGAGAGAGAATGTAGGAAGATAATTTTGATTTTCAGACCATTTGATTTTGTTCAAGGTTTTGGCCATGGATGGGATTCATCTCAGTACATTTTACATTTAATCTCAGTACAGTTGCTTAAAATACAAGCATCTGTCCTACACTAAGGAGCTGGGCTGCTCATGACCAAAGGAAAGCAGCAGATACCTCCAAAAGGAGATTTATCCCTCCCTAAAGAAGGTGATGGGATGGACTCTCCCTGTCTTTCTCCATTGACATGAAGGAAGCCCAAGTGATTTGTTTAGATTGAATACTTACTTTTCACACAGCAAGAATAGTCCTAGGCTCAAATAATTTCATTTCTTGAAAAATGTATTGAAATTTTGAAGTGGTGGCTCTACTCCTGCCCCTTCCCTCGCTGGTGGTTGGTGTCTGTGAAGGGAATACATGCTGCAGTGCTGACAATTCCCATCCTTTGTGAGTACTGAGGATATGCCTTGGGCCTAAGCAATGACAGCCCTCAGACCTGTGATGACTTGAAAAATCACACACCAGTGCTATCTACCCTCCAGCCAGCATGGGACGAGTGATGCATTATAAATCCAGATCCTTTACCAGTGCAGAGATTAAAGAAGCAAGAAAGAAGTTTCTTAATCCCTGCCTCAAGCAGTTTAAAACCTCCTTCTTGCTTGGGGTCCTACATAAATCAGAGCAGAGGACTGGCTATATTCTGCAAATAAATCTTCCTTGATATTTACTTCTCACATAACTTCTCTGTAACAAATTCTGAATTCCCCATGAAATACGTTAATAAAATGTCAACCAGTTTATAATTTAGTAGCATCATAGTAATAATACTTTCTTCAGTTATATGTGTCTCTTCCAGGCAACATTTGATATATTGCTTGCAGATAAAAAGTGAAATTAATATCTTAATATATCATTTAGTCTTTTTCCTAATACCAAAACCCACTAAGTGTAAACCATCTGTACAATAATTAATCATGCATAAGTGCAGACCAAATGCAGATTAAATCAGCCTGAAAAAAGTCTCTCACAAGTAATTTCCACATGCATTTGAGGAAAATAATTTCAAAAAAATTAAGTATAAGAATTATTTCCACTACAGTTAATAATTATAATAATGGCAGAGGACACTTAGTACAGAGCATTGCAATAGGATTAAAGAACACACCTTTCATTTTTTCCAAAAGAATAGGAAGAACCAAAGGACAAGGCAGTGATTAATTTATAAAACATATTTTGCTCCTGTAGAAAACCTTCTGTTTAAGGATGTGTGATGATGACTATCATCACTACCATGAATTGAGCCTTACAAACAGTCAGAGAACTGATAACAAATATGTCACCTCTAAAATTGTTTATCAAGGCAACCTGCCATTCTGAAAACTGGAATCACAGTGCCACATGTTTCAACAGACACCAGAGAACAGTGGCCAGTTCTGACGTGAGCTGTTGGACACTATTTCAGAGCTGCTCCATCAGCGTGGTGCCTGTGACTGTGCTGTACCCCACACATCAATGCTGTCCTGTGCTTGCTGCTGGGGACAGTTACAGGCAAAACTCGTGCTGAAATGCAAAGCCATGACTCAAGTTGTCCTGTTGTCTTCAGCTTTAAATTGAGAAAAGCATAGTGCTCACACTGAAGATCCAGAGTTTGAATTATTTCAGATTTGGCTCAGTATGTCCACACAAGTGCAATCACAGCTGTCTGGCAGGCATGTTTACAGTCACCTCAGAACCCCAAACAGCCCTTCAGACCATTCACACTCCTGCTGTGTGAATCCTTTTAAACCCATGATCAGATAATCCAGGGCCACTAGACTTCTGATGCTAACTAGTTATAAAGACTTTGATATTTGATTTCAAACCAGACCAACTGAACAGATGTTTAATTAAACAACAGACAAGGTGTTGTTTGTCAGCACTTTAAGAATCCCAGCCTTCTGTTTTCACTTGCATGAACTTTTTCTGCCATGAACTTAACCTGTCACAATTGTCTTTCAGTGAATATATTTGCTGATGCCAGAAGCAGAAGGAGTTCACAAATCAAGCTTTTGACAGGTTGCAGGCTGGGTCTCATTCTCACCTACACCTTGGTGCCTCAGGGGACGTGCTGTCTTCTCCAGCTGAAGTGCACAGGTATGCCTTTGCTTGCTTCCCTCATTCAGCTCTGCTCATTCCCAGCTGAGACACTGGGCTGCCTAGAACCCAGGTAAGACCTCTTCAGTATTTAATTTTCCTGTTAAGCATGAACCAAAATTTGTTGGGGTTTTTCTAGTCCTTGTTTGTCCATTAAAGGGAGTGAGGTTTAGAGAGTATCACTTGTGTTACACATCACAGTGTTAGGGTAGGGATTGGATGTGTAACTGCCAAGATTGCTCACCATGGGCACCTGTTTTTCACTGCAGTGCTGTGGCAGTGGTTGCAGCTTAAATCATCTCTGAGTCTGTTCATTATTCTGACAGAGTATAAAATTTGAAGTCCAGCACAGAGGGAAAATATTTGCTCAGTTTTGCTTCGGACAGTTGATCTTTGGCCAGGTCTCTGTAGCCAGGCACAGCTGCATGGATGCTCAGCAGCATCATCTCCCTGTCACATGCCAGGCCCTCTGTGGTTGTGGCAGGTGAGAGCAGCTGCAGCAGCATGAAAGCCTGGTGACTCTTGCTAGCTTTCCTGCCTGAAGTACTCATCTAGGTACTGCCTGAAGTGGTTGCTGAAGTGCTTATCTGGGTACAGCTGTTGCGTTGTGTGCTGCATAAAGCTGGGTGCACCAAGCCCACATGGAGTCTGTAACACCTGAAGTGCTTTTGTTTATGTTCCCACTTCTCTGGGGGTGTGTTTCATTTAAGCTCACTTAGTACAGTGATGGCTGTGTGAGGAACAAGAACATAGCTGGGAACTGGTTCTTGGCCATGCTCATACAGGGATGTCCCAGCAGCTGGAACTGTTTCAGGGTGCACCAGCCTCACTGGTTCCTACAGGTGGAGAAAGGTGGAAGTTGCAAAGATGGGGGCAGGTTTGGTTTGGGAGTTCTACTTGGTAGCAGGGTGTTGGATTGCCTTTTATACCCATGGCTGCCTTTTGTTTTTCCAACAGTTTTGTGTTGGCAAGTCTCACTTTCTTCCAGTAGATAGGAAGAGGAAGGATGTCATAATGTCACAATCAATCTCTCTTGGACTTGTGCTGAGTTTCACCTGTACAATTTTTTTGCACTGATGCTGACATTGCCTGGTTTTCTTCACTAAACATTAAGATGCACTTATTCTGACAAATAGGTTTCTGACAAAATTCATAGCACCTGACATCAAGCACTTCTCAGTGGCATCTCTGACTATCTTTTAAATTAATGAAAACAAACTAGAATCTCCAGAGAAAGAGCTAGATCTCTGCAAACAGCCTTGCAGAATCCACTTAGAATTGTGGTGGTTTTTTGAAATTTGATTCCTGCAGTATTTTAGCTGATAGCATTCTGGTTATATTTTATACTAAGTGTAAATATGTTTTCAAGGTCTTCTCTGGAAGCCTTTGTGAAGTGCTTCTCTGCTTTCATTCCAGTTTCAGTGCTGAACTTTCCATCGTGATATTTTTTTTTTCTACAACTAAATCAAAGCCAGGGTTTCCTTTTAATCATTATAGTTTTATTACATCTCTATCACTTCACTAAAGGCTGGTTCTGGGTACAACTGTGTGCCCTGGTGAGCGAGAGCACCAAGTGATGGACCAGTTTTTCTCTTGCAGCAGTACCAGTCAGAGTTTGATGGGGAGGCATGAGGCTGGGGCTGGCCATCCTGTTACACCTCAGTAAGTACAGATGCTACAGTGACTCAGGCCAATTTTGATATATTATCATATGATTTACACACCTTTCCAAGATTTTGTTGAAGCACTTCTTTTAAGGAAATGCTATTGAGAAACACTTGACAGTGAATCCTTATTCCCCACTCTCCTGCCAGTGAGGGACCTATGACTTATGATATCTTCAAGTACAAAGAAGACACACATGTTGTAAATGAGTCTGATTCAGGTCCTGAAAGGGGCAATCAACATCTGCTAATGAATAATCAGCATGGATTTGTATAACTAAAAAGAGCAGGCTAATTAAACATAGGCACTGCTTTACATCTGAAGAGTCATGTCACTCATTATTCGAATTATAGCCTGAGCCCTAGACTGAAATTTGGTGTAAAATGCTATATTTTTACTGTGGTAGTTGTATTTCTGGTGTTTTGTGGGATCTTCAAGTATTAGTTGTAGGGTTTTTTTAACTGCACCTTTTCTAACAAGTTGAGCCAAGTAAAGCTGAATGGATATAGCCTCCAAGGTACCCATTCCTTTGCAGAGTTTCAGGACAGAACTTGTTTAAAAGGAAAAGCCCTGTAAGGGAAGTCTTAATATAATAGGGAAGATACTGAAAGTTGTTTCAGGCTAAACAAAGAAGTTCTGCAATTATTCAGAGAATTCAGAATTACTCTTTTAATTTATTAATGACCATTTCATGGGGTCTGACAGGGTTCTGACACTGGGCTAGGGATTCATTGCAAATTAAAAGAAAATCGAGGGGGCCCCGATATCAATCCTGGTCTCAATCCTGGTCTCATTTCCACCATTATAACTTGGAACACTTATTTCAACAGAAATAAGTGGAAGTAATTCAAATCTGTCTCTATTCACAGAGTCAATTGAAATGCTTTTTTGTAGGATTGCTGGCAATGGGTATGTAAGGGTGGGAAGCATAATAAATTATTGCTCATGGCACATTTCTTTTCAGTAAAAATGCCAATGTGCTGAAAATTTAAGTTTTAGTATAGATTTGCAATATGCTAGCTCTATTTTTTTTTTTTTTTTTTATTATTTTGCAGCTGGTGTGTTCGTTACTGAAGTTCTTTAAAAAACGTATAAGTAAGGACAAAAGGGGTACAGGCAAAGGATAATTGAGTTTTCTGCTTGTGTTGGGATTTAACTGTTTTTGTCTGGAGAATACTGCTGGCTACACAAACCAATTTAATCTTTCTTTGGTCTTCTGTTATGCTTAGTGCTGATAAGGCCCCAGCATGCACAGCATGACTGTGGGGCTGGGTCCTGCCACCCAGCCCTTGGGGACCTCCTCCAGGGCCGCAGCAAGCGACTGACAGCCTCGTCAACCTGTGGCATGAGCAGCCCTCAGAAGTACTGCATCATAGGCTACCTGGAGGTTGGTCTGCTCTTTCTTCTTTAATAAACTGAGCTCTTCTTGCTAACCATATCCTCACTCCTCCTACTAACCTTGTTCTCATCTGTATAGGGAATTTGCCCAGACTGGGAAGTTCCTGAATAATTATCAGACAGTGTGACATTAAGTCTGGTGAGAGGCTGTGCCTCTCTGCAGCACGTATGGAGGGTTTGGCAGCAAACAGCCTCCACAGGGATGTGTATCTTCTCAAGGGGGAGAAGCATCCCTGAGATGCACAGGGATGGAGCACAGGGATTTCTGAAGGAGCTTTGCTCTGCAAGTCCTCTTCCCATTCAGGTCCCAGAGGTGAAGCCCATGGTCTGTGTGTGAGAGGGGTCCCACAGGCTGCAGGGCCTTCTCCAGAGGACATGTCCATATGGTGTTGAGACCTGAGGCAGCCTGTTAAGAGAGTCACACCATACAATCTCCTCTCTTTTGATCTGAAATGAGGCCAGTGTTGCTGAGAGCAGAAAGCAGCCTCTGAAAAAGGAAGACCTAATGCTGGGGTCCAGGCTTTGGCCATATGTGTGGGTCAGCAGATCCAAAATGTGGCTGACCAGAGGGATGCCTCTCACTCCCTGGCTGCAGTGAGGAGGGGGAACCACTGGGTATATGGAAGGTGTGCAGAAATGAGGATTCCCCTGTTGTACATCCTGGAGGACTTGGCCCCAATGAGCTAATGAATTGTCACAAATAGAAATATTGTCACTAAATAACTGCCTAGGCTGAAGAGGAAGTTAAAAACAGCTTAATTTATAAGCAATTGAAAATAATTACAGTTTATGACCTTCCAGCTTAATGTTGTGACACATTTGCAGAGTAAAGTATGGACATGGAACCAAGCACTGCTCCAAGTTGCACATTGTATCCACAGTTTCCTGCAAAATGTAAATATCTCTTTCCTTTGCTAAAATAGCCTGAATCATCTTTCTGGTCCTAAAGCTTGATGATTGCCTTTTATTCTTGCTTTTTAGGAGGAGATCAAAAAGCAATAAAAAAATTAATATGTTCACTTGCCTGTACTTATCCTTTGAATTATGTAAATACAGACTCATGAAGAGGAGCAGCTGTTCTGCAATAATCCCTGTGATTTAATGCTGCTTCAACATATCTTGACCCCTGGTGGCTGTCTCCTGAAGAGGGTGAAAACCACAAACTGCTGCTTTGCAGAGCTTGAGAGAGAGAGACCCTTTGTCAATGTGCTCTGTTCCATCAGCTTGCCTTAAATGTGTTGTTGCACCTACAGTGCATCAGAATGCCACTTCACTTTCAATTTGCTTTCTCACCAGCACATTTTGAATTCTTTGCTGGAGGCAGACCAGGAAGTTTTGCATCTTACATCTTGTAAACCAAAGCTCTTCCTCTTCTCTCCTGATGACCTGCGGCAGATTTCTTAAGAGCAAACCTTACTCATGAAAGTGGGTATTAGTCAATGTGGCAAGCTACCAAAAGCCAGGATTTAGCTGGGATCCAGATGGGGAAAAAATAAAATTCAACTGCTTTGTGTTTGGAAAGCAGCACTACAAGTAATTTTTAGTCTTTAATATGTCTTACTGTTTTTAAAATGTAGGTTAAGTGGGTTTTAGCTCAATGATTGGATTTATTACTTACATATGTTTTGAAAGGAAAAGACAGGGCACTCAGTGTTGAGGAGTGTATAAAGCTCCACAATTCAGAGGCAAGTGGGATCTGCCAGACATGGACATGCACATGCTTGTCCTTTGGAGCAGATTTTTATGGAGCAACCTTCAACATAAGTTGCCCCAGTGTCATATTGTATGTCTACAAGAACCAGAGTATGAGTGTGCATGGTCCTTCCAACTGCTTCAACAACCCAGACTCTCCTTACTCTCCTCTCTTTGTGAAATGAGATGACAGAGTGGTCTTTTTTAAATTTCTCACTCATCTTCTAAAATGTGCTTTCATACATTTGTCAAGTGTAGTATAGAATGACTGAATGTTATACATAATTACCATGGTTAAAATACATTAATTATACCTGTGAATCTATATATCTTCATTTATTTAAATGCAAATAATTCCTGGGTGATTTCATAATGCAAAGATGTTAAAACCATTCCCAGTTCTTTGTGGATCCTGAGTGTGCCACCCATTTCCTTCTGGGTAATTTCCAGCCTCCCAGCCATGGGTACTGAACTCATTCCTCCTCCTTCAGTTCCCTCTGGGATGCTGTGTCATCCCCTGTTCCTCCTGCCCCTGTCCCCACCGGCCAGGCACACAGCTTGGGCATCACCTTCTGCTGTGGCTTATTCCTGCATCCTCACACTATGCTCTGCCCAAATCTCCTGGAGTGTCTGTGCAGTGCATCCACCCCTGCCCACCCTGCTGAACACTTCCCTGGGACCCTGCTGGCTGTCATGGCTGCTCTGGCTCTCCACATGGCCCAGCACAGGCCATCTGCCACCCCAGCATGTTAACCTTGTCACTTCTTCTTGCTCTGCCACTCAATCCCCATCTTATCACCTTAAACAGGAACATTTGGCCTCATTTGAAAGTCTCTCATTCAGAACTGAGATATCAGTTAATCATAACTACCTTCATCTTCTGCTTGTAGCATTTTCAAATAAGACCCTTGTATCCTATTGATATCCTGATTTTCCCTCTTTGCATTGGTTTAAACTTTTCCAGTTCCCCTACACTTCAAAAGACACTGACAGCAGTCAGGGTGGTGGTGTCATCCCAAACCAACTACCTACCTGGTACCTGGTTGTACTGAGATCCCTTCTCCACAACTGAAAAGTGCAATTTTTATAAAGTACCTGGGGAAGACCATGACCAGCCCTTACTATGTGCATGCTTCGTGCATATGATGGTTCTCTTGGGCTTGTATATGAAAAGCCTGAGTGATTAAAAGCCCAGGCATCCAAAGCAGCAAGACAGGTTCTAGTCTTGCAATGGCGTAAATATATGTACATCCAGCTAATTTTTAGTGAAGAATCCAAGTTAAGCTTTTATTCTGCTCATTTTGTTTTCCAGGCTGAAGAGAAGTGCTTTCTCTGTGATTCCAGATACCCATATAATCCCTATACCCAGCACAACAGTCACATGGTAGAAAATGTTATCACAGCCTTTGAGCCTGACAGGAAAAAGAAGTGGTGGCAGTCAGAAAATGGTAAGTTCCCTAGATAAAATATTACTGCAAATGTTACTGTGGGATTTCTTTACATAATTGGCTTTCACAAAATTGCCTTCATGAAGAGTTGAATCCTGAGTGATTTAAACCCATTTGTGTGTTGCAAGATAAGATTTCAGGAAGTCTGTGTTTCTATGGACAAGTTTTAAACTCAGCACCCCCAAGAGCTGGCCAGAGGATGTGTGGCAATGCTGGTTATACATGAAAGCCATGTATTTTCCACTGGCTGTCTTCCCTGACAGAGAGTTTTCATTTGGGGCAAAATATACATTTGCCTACAGATGTAACGTAAAGACAGTCTGTAAAACACAAATACTCATTTAAAAATTATTTTTAAAGAACTAATGATTTAGGAAAAAAATTAAATAAAGCCTGGCTATGAGCTCCCTTATTCTGATATTCCCAAGTTCCTTTTCTGCAGGGCTGTTCTGGATCCATTCATCCCCCAGCTTGTATTGGTTCTGGGGATTGTCCTAACCCAGCTGTAGCACCTTGCACTTGTCTTTGACAAATCTCATCATATTCCCATGGCCCCACATCCTGAGCTTTTCCAGGTCCTTCTGGATGGTCACTGATCCTTCACACGTGTCAACAGCGCCACTAGGCTTGGTGTCCTCTACAACTTGCAATCCCAGAATTGATGAAAATAGTGTCCTTACAGCTTCTCTGGGAAGACATGCTAGGAGGAATAACATTTACTCTGTCTTATTTGACATACAGTGATTATGTGAAAAACATTTCACTGGTTGGAAATTAAGGCATAGAAAAATAAGATAATTTGTCACCTCTGTTTTGAGTATCCAAGTGAAAATCCATAAGCCTTGTTTTTCATGGAGTTTAGCAAGGATCTGTCACCAGCTTTGGACACCACTGCCAATAAAACCATGGGCTGGCTGTGAGAGGAGCTTTCCTTGTTCTGTCTTTCTTCTGGGATGGGGTCTCATGCACAGCCTGGTCAGGAGTCCTGAGATGGTGCATGCAGATGTGAACAATGGGGAGGGATATCTGCTGAGCTCCTGGAACTCTCTACAGAGAGTGGTGACTTCTAGAGTCTTTTTCTATATTCATTGCAGTTTTGGAAGATGCCTGGTGCAGTAGTTCTGCCCATGACAAATTTCAGATCTGGAAGTATAGAAGGGTTTATATAAACAGTTCTGTTCAGCATGAAGAAAACACCTCATTTTATTAGTTCTCTTTTTCTTTCTTAGCAATAAGTGAATTATTTGAATGGATTATAAGAAATAAACCTAACTGGATATAGAAACACACAAACCCAGCACCTTGCCATGACCATCATTTACAGTCTGAATTATGTGAGCAGGACATTCAGCCACCTCCTGCAGTCTCAGTGACATGCAGCATTGCTGGTGACAGTGCCAGGAAGGCAGCACATTGTATTGCCCCAGAGAGAGGTCCAGCTGCACAGGTTTGTGCACAGAGGGTGCCCTAAAGGGTCTAGCTGCTCTGCTGGAAAAGGCATCTTTAAATCCTCCATGGGAAAACTGTCTCAGCAACCCCTTCAATGTACGCATTGTGCACTTCATTTTCATTCTCTTTTCAGGCATTGACCATGTGAGCATTAGATTGGACCTAGAAACTTTATTCCAATTCAGCCATCTTATCCTGACATTTAAGGTACATCTTTTACCAGAGCTTTTATGTAAGATTATACACTAATTAACCACAGGAATAAATTGCTTAGAGAGGCAATGAAAGCTCCATCTTTAGAGGTTTGTAAGGACAGGTTAGATAAACACCTGTCAAGTATTGTTAAATTATAGTTGATCCTGCCTTAGGGGAGGAGGATAGACTGAACAGCTTCCTATTTGTGTGCCTTCTGAACCTATTTTCTATAAAGCCAAGAATTAAAACTGAAAAAATACTTTGCAAAATTACACTCTAAAAATGTGGGATATATCTGAACTGCAGTTGCTCTTTTAATTTAGTTCAGTTCATGCGTATCAATTCTGATCCAGATGATTACAATTTTTTTTTGCACTAAATTCCTAATTGTTGTGGTAAACTTCCTTACTTAGAAAGTAATCACATATCTATATGAAATGTTACCTTTCCCTTTTGCTGGAGAGAGGTTCTAATGAGCTTTTTCAGAGACCCCTGTAACCATCACAGTACCTGTAACAAATACAAAATACCTCTCAAACAGAAAATTTTAGCATCCTCCAAAGAGGAATATCAATGTAACAACCCCTGAGGTGTCTTATTAATGCTGGCTTAGGGAATTCTTGAAATGTTTCTTGCAGACATTTCGGCCTGCAGCAATGCTGGTTGAGCGCTCTACTGATTTTGGTCAGACCTGGAAAGTGTTTAGATATTTTGCACATGATTGTGCAGCTTCTTTCCCCAACATCTCTACTGGTCCAGCAAAAAGTGTTGGAGATGTTGTTTGTGATTCAAGATATTCAGACATCGAGCCCTCCACTGAAGGCGAGGTACAGTCAAGTGTCTGTTTGTATGAGTTCAAATCATTTGTGGAACTGAAGGTCTCTTGCCTGTGTCTGTTAAAAGCAGAGGCCTGTCCTTTGATCCCTTTGGTGGCTGCTCATCTCATCTCTAGAGCTTTATTGATTTGTTTTGCAGGTTGTTTTAAAAGCCTTGGATCCCAGCTTTGAAATAGAAAATCCATATGTGCCATATATCCAAGGTATGGACACTACATGTTTTGTCTAGAGACACTTTGCTGGTATTTTTTGTTTTGTACACTGAAAAGGGTCAACAGCTCAGCTGGTGTAACTCAATGATGTTGAAAATTAGGTACTTAAAGACCTTAGGTACACATTGTGTTAATAAATGGAATGGGTCAGTCTTGCTCTCTAGCCCTGGGGGCAAACAGCAAAGCTCTGCAGAGCTGTCCATGAAGCTAAACTGTCTTTCCCTCTGGATTCAGGCCCAATCCACACTGCTTTCTGAGAGCAGTCCCAGAGGTACACATGAACCCCTGAAGACAGTGGCTGGGAAAGTGCAGAGCCATACCAAGTAGGATGCTAACACTGTAGGATGCCTATAGTGACAGCTGTGTGCCAGGAGTGGGTACCTGCACTGCACTGCCACTGTAGGCATTACTGATTTTGGCCAATATTGGATCATTTTCATAATTTCTTCACTATGGGAATATTCTTGGATGACTGATTCAAGCTGAAGATTTCATACTGTTCATTTTAGCCTGAACTTGGGCTCCTGCTCTCTCTTCTTTCCTTCCAGATCTCATTACATTGACAAACCTAAGGATCAATTTTACTAAACTCCACACCCTTGGAGATGCTCTGCTTGGGAGGAGGAACAGTGATCCCCTTGAGAAGTACTACTATGCCATCTATGAGATGGTTGTGAGGGGCAGCTGCTTTTGCAATGGCCATGCCAGCCAGTGTGATTCCATGCAGAACCTCCGGGGAGACGTTTTCCATCAGTCCGGGATGGTGCGTCCTTAACGCTGTCCCCAAAAAGGGGAGTCTCAGTTGGTGTTTAGTGAGAAGGAAGAGATGGAGGGAGGGAGCTGAAGGAAGATCTCTGATAATCTTTGGATTGGCCACTTGCAATTGCTGGTTGTTAAATGCTTCAATGCAGACTCTTCCTTTAAAACCCGGGGTTGGAATGCACAGAAGCTGTCTTTGTTGGCACTACTGTGGTGTTTCAAAAGCAACTGGGACAAGACATGTTGATAATAGCAGCAGAATTCCAGAGCTGTAATGGTGCAAATGTAATGCAGTAAGTAGCCTATGGCATGTGCAGACTTGAATGGCCACTTGTTGGGTGCATTCCACACTCCAGCTGGGCTCGGAGGCTCTGCAGCGGGAGAGGAGGCATTGGCACAAAGAATAGTTGATAATGCAAAGCTAACCCATGAAAAATGGATTATTAAAAGTTCCAGTAATGTGATTGCAAGTTTTTTCCCTCTGGAAACTAGAGGGTTTTTTCTCCTGGAAAATATGTATCACAATATGAAGACATATAGGGAGAGAGAGAAATAATCTAAAATGTTGATGTCTGCTTTGATATCTCTATAAGTAATTTTTTTCTAAATATTGCTCAGTGACTTTAATATTTGGAGGTATTCTCCAGATCTTTGACTCAAATAATTGAAAATTATGTCAGCTGAGGGAGCCAAAGAGCTTCAAATTTTCCTGATCTTGCTGACATACCTTAAGCAAATATTTCCCTCTCCTCTCCTCTCCTCTCCTCTCCTCTCCTCTCCT